AGTCTCCACCCGTGCCAAGTCACCCAGGTCCTGGACCACGAGGAGCATGTCGTCGGCGCATGCCAATAGGACCAGCCACAGCTCCGGCTCTCAAAACACCAACCCCGTCAGCCTCTGATGGACGAGACATAGGAAGGGCTCGGTCGCCAGAGCATACAGCTGGCCCAAGAAGGGGTACCCCTGCCGTACTCCCCACCCGAAGCTGACCGGCTTGGTCAGGGTCCAGTTGAGCCTGACCAGACACTCTGTGGAGGCGTACAGAACCTGGAGAAAGCCCACAAACTGGGGTCCGAAGCCCAGTGCTTGCAGAGTGCCTAGGAGATACCAGTGGTCCACCCTCATCCAGGGACAGGAGGGCGAACGACAGACCATCCCTACACCTGAGCTCCAGGAGATCCTGGACCAGATACAGGTTATCAAAGATGGTATGGCCCGTGAAGGTGTAGGTCTGGTCTGGGTGGACAATGTCCACCAGCACAGACCCCAGCCACAGTGAGATGGTCTTCACTACAACTTTGTAGTCCATGCTGAGGAGCGAGACGGGATGCCAATTCCGTAAATTGCGGAGGTCTCCCTTCTTCGGCAATAAGGCGAGCCTGGCTTGCCTGCACGAGAGAGGGAGGACCCCGCTCATCAAGGACTTGGCCCAGATGGTGACTTGGTCCGGGCCGAGGACATCCCAGAACATGCAGTAGAACTCCACGATCAGCCCGTCCATGCCCAGAGATTTATTGGTGCGCATGCGTCGGAGGGTTCCGAGAACTTGGCCAGAGTGAGAGGCAGCTCTAGCCGGTCTCGGTCACCTGCGCTGACCGTCAGGAGTCCATCGCAGAGCACTCTGCAAGTGGCAGGATCGGTTGGATCTGGGGAGAAAAGACCTGCGTAGAAGGCCCTGACCTTCCCACACATCTCTGCCGGTTCTATGAGGGGTGTGCCGTCCTCTGCCAGGAGGCAGGTGACATGCTTCTTGGCCCCCCTCCTTTTCTTGAGGGTGTAGAAGAAGTGGGAGCTGCGATCCATCTCCTGAAGGAGGCGGATGCGGGATCGAACAAAGGCACCCTGGGCCTGATAGTCCTCGAGGGCCCGGAGCTTCTTCCGCTTCTCCCGGCACGCTCCACAGAGGAATGGATCCTTGGGGCTGGCGGCCAGACACCTCTCCAGCTCTAAGACCTCCCATTCCAACTGCTCTATCGCCACATCCCTCCATTGACTGGCGCCCTGGGTGTAGTCACGGCAAAATAGCTGGGCGTGCACCTTCCCCATGTCCCACCACCGCCACTCTGAGGGAAAGGCGCACCTCTGCCCTCACTAGGCCAGCAGAACTCCCGGAAGGATGCCACAAAGCATCTTGTTGGAGGATATGGGCTATTAAAGTGCCAATAAGCCAGCCCCGGCCTCTCCACGCAGAGAGAGGCCGTCATGGTCGCTAGATGGTGATGTGAAAATGGGGCTGGTCGGCTGCTGGAGGAATGGGCCTATGAAAGATGGAAGCATGATAGGTAGTGCGGTCCAACCAGGAGTGGCGTGACCGATGGGCCTCCACCTGGACAAAGGTGAACATCGAGACGTCGTCCGGGTGGTGGTCGCGCCAGACATCCCCCAGGAAGTGATGGTCGACAATGTCCCAAAGGACATCCGCGGCTGCTGGGCATTGCTTGGTCCCCAAGTGGTCCTGCTCCTCGAGGATGGTGTTAAAATCCCCACCCAAGACCAGGCATTTGCAAGAATCCAAGGAGCCGAGGAAGGCGGATGTCTGCTGATAGAAATTCAGCCACTCTGGGCCCGATGTCAGGGCATAAATGTTGACAAGATTGACCACTAGCCCCTCCATACAGACCCAGAGGTTCAGCAGGCGGCCCGGCTCAGCCTCGGCAACCCCCAGCACCTCGGGCTGTAGGTCGGGGGAGAACAGGGTGGCCACTCCAGCCGAATTGGTGGTGAGGTGGCTAAAATAAACGCTTTCCCCCCACTCCAGCCGCCAGCTATCTTCGGCGGCTGGATCCGTATGGGTCTCCTGCAGGAAAACCACAGAGTACCTCCCCTCCCGAAGGAAGGAGAGCACCTGGCACCTGCGAAGACCCATCCCTCCGCCACTCCCTACTGAGCCAGGGTCTGAGGTGGGCTGCGCCCATTGGGCGCCACGTCGAGGGTCCGCACCCTGCGGCGGTTGAGGTATAGGCTATCTGGGGTGACGGGAGGGCGGGGGCAGGTGGAGGAGGGGCAGTGGGGTCTGCCTGAGGGGTCTCACCCACCTTGTCCCCCACCATAATGAGAGGAGTAGAACAGGAAGAAGGCAGAATTGAGACCTTTTAAATTTTTGGCCCAAGCGAGGGGGCTTTGGGGCGTCATTTGAGCTCCCTGCCTCAGGTGCCAAAATGTTATGGGCCAGCCCTGCTTACAGGGTATTGTGAGGATACATACATGAAAGAGTGTGAGGTGCTTGGATAATCTGGTGAGGGGGGCCATGAAGTACCTGAAATAGATTGCCGTTTATTATTGTTTGTATTACAGTAGCATGTGGAAGTCCCACCCACAACAGGGACTCTCTTGTGTGATACTGTACAAGCAAATCAAGCACATAGTAAGAAACAGTCGCTACCCCCAAGAGCTTATAATGTAAGTAGATGAGGAAATAGTATTATCCCACCATTTTACAGGTGGGGAACTAAGGCCCAGAGAGAGAAAGTGAACAGACATAGGACACACAGAGAATCTGTGGAAAAAGCAGCAACTGAACCCATTTTTTTTTCCTTAGTCCCACTTCAGTGCCATAACTATAAGATCATCCTTCCTGCAGATAAAGCAATGATTCATTTGACCTCTGAATTGCAAACTAATCCAGTTTGGGTTTTGTCATTAGGGACACATTTTTTATTAAAATCTCTCATCCTGCCACTTCCTGTTTTCATTAAGGACAATGGAAATCAGTATGTTCTTTGTTAGTGGACAAGACAGACACTTTTTTCTAAATTGCTCTTGGACTCAGATTACAGGTATATACATACAATAAAAGAGAGCTACTGCTATACTGTCAGCTTTCTTCTGGTTCCTGGATTTGATCTCTGCGAAATGATGATAGGAACTCTGGAGTAGGAACCAAAGTTAGGGCTTGTCTTCACTACCCACCCGGATCGGCGGGTAGAAATCGATCTCTTGGGGATCGATTTATCGCGTCTCGTCGGGACATGATAATCAATCCCCGAATCGACACACGTACTCCATCAGCCCAGGTAGGAGTAAGCACCGTCAACGGGGGAGCCACGGCAGTCGATTTGCCGCCGTCCTCACAGCAGGGTAAGTCGGATCAGATACATCGAATTCAGCTACGCTATTCCCATACCTGAATTTGCGTATCTGAAATCGATTTCCCCCCCCCTGTAGTGTAGACGTAGCCTTACTCTTAATGTTGTATGGGGGCAATTATTATATAGTGAGACCTATCAGCAGAAGCACATTGCTAAAGCACTTGGAGCCTGCCAGGCAAGCCAGCAATATGTATATGTACAGTTCTCAACAACATGTTAAGTAAAGTATTTACTGTTACTTAGAGTCTTCAGTACCTTTCCTTATGTTATAACAACAAGTTGGCAACAGCTATTACTTTTAGATTTGTTCTGATATGATGTAAGAAAAGGGTAGAACAGACCTGAAAAAATAAAGGACCAACTAAAACCTCCAGGAAAGTTAGTGTCTGAAGGAAATGCAGCAGAGAAACTGGAGAAAGTGGAAGCAAGGACTTGAGCTGTTCAGCGACCAATGGGAGCTGCGGGAGCAGTGCCTGTGGGCGCAAGGGCAGTGCATGGAGCCTCCCTGGCCACCTGTGCGTCTAGGGGCTGCAGGGACCTGGCAGATGCTTCCCGGGAGCCATGGTAAGCGCCGCTGGAACCCCACACCCCAAACCCTCTTCTGCACCCCAACCCCATGTCCCAGCCCTGAGGCCCCTCCCACACTCAAACTCCCTCCTGGAGCCCCAACCCCCATGTCTCCTGCCCCAGCCACCTCCTGCACCCCAAACCCTCATCCCCGGCCCATCCCAGAGTCCACCCCCTCAGCCGGAGCCCTCACCCCCCCATGCACTCCAACCCCTTGCCCCAGTCTGGAGTCCCCTCCTACACCTCAAACTCCTCATCCCTGGCCTCACCCCAGAGTCTGCACCCCAGCTGGAGTCCTCACCCTCCCTACCCTAACCCTCTGCTCTAGGCCTCCTCCAAACCCCTTATCCCCAGTCCCAACCCAGTGAATGTGAGTGAGGGTGGGGAATGACGGGGGGGGGGGATGGAGTGTGCATGGGCGGGGCCTTGGGGAAGGGCGGGGCCTCAGGGAAGGGGTGGGGCAGGGATGTTTAGTTTTGTGCGATTAGAAAGTTAGTAACCCTAGTGAAGAAGCAAGAGAGGAATGAAACACTTTTCAATTTGATGTGGCAGGTAAAGGAAAAATACAGGTGTTAAAGAATAAGTGTGAGGCAGACTGTGCTCTGCAAAGGCATGTGTCATATGAGAGGCGCAAATGTTTCACTGCAAACCATATAGATGGAGACTAACGTGTGACTGATTTAAAACTGGCAGCACAATCTTGTGAATTTGGAGAACAGTGTGAATCATTCATTAAACACCTCATTGTGTATGGCATTGCATCAATATCAGTGCAAGCTCGGTTGTTGAGGGAGATTAATATAACCCTTGAACATACTGTGGACATGTCATGCAGATGAAATGACTGCAAAACAATTAAAAGGGCTGGATGAACTGGAAAAACATGACAAGTTTCAGAGTAACAGCCGTGTTAGTCTGTATCCGCAAAAAGAAGAACAGGAGTATTTGTGGCACCTTAGAGACTAACAATGCATGCTCTAATAAATTTGTTAGTCTCTAAGATGCCACAAGTACTCCTGTTCTTCTTTTTGTGGAAAAACATGCACACATACTGCAACGTAAGCATGTCATTAGTAAGCACCCAGGCATGCAGTCCTGCTGCTAATAAAAGCCTTGCAGTCAAGAGAAGTGAAAAGAAGAGCCGTCAGAGGCCACTGAGGGTTGTTATAAATGTGGTTGTAGCAATGCCATAAGGAACTGTCCTGCATATGGGCAAGAACGACAAATCATTTTTGCCAAAATGTGCAACTCTGGAAAGGAAAAATCCCAGGGCAAACACTTGCCCTCACAGAAGCAGATGAACACCGACAAAATCTGTTCCTCAGTATGCTGAGAGTGAGCTTGCCAAGGATGACTGGAATGTGGATTTTCTCAATGATCACAAAACTGTGAGTTTAAAAATCAATATTGGGGCACAGGCCAATGTGATGTCTGTAAAGTTATACAACACTTTAAGGGCTGAACCACTTTGCAGCTCAAGTATCTAGCTGATAATCTACTTGGGAGAATACTGTAAATATATTGTAAATGCAATTTGGAGTGTAAGTATCAGGATAAGAAAGCATTGCTGGAATTTTGGGTGGTGGTATTTGACTCACAAGCCATGCTGGGCTTACAGACTGGGGCAAGTTTAAATTTAGTGCAAAGAGTCAATATGGTAAAGGAAGAATCAGAAGGTGACTGGGATATATTCAAAGTATACAAAGATGTATTTGAAGGTTTAGGATGCATGGCATAAAGATGAACTCATAAGTAGAAAAAGAATTGCTCCATGTGGAATAGCTTCAAGTAATACCAGAAGTGGAAGAACCTACAAAATGGGTCAATTGTATAGTAATTGTAGACCGACCAGGTCAAGAGGAAATAAAGAATATGCTTGGATCCAAGAAATATAAATAAAGCCATAAGAAAGGGACGATTTCAATTACCTACAGTAGAAGAAATCACCCACAAGTTAGTTGAAGCTGTCTAAGCTGTTTTAGATACCAGTAGTGGATTTTGGCAAATACAGATGAATTTAAAGTTCTAGACTCTGTACATCAACACACCATTTGGCAATGGCAGGTATGGGTTCTCCAGAATTCCTTTTGGCATCTGTTCAGTTCCTGAAGTGTACCAATGAGTGATCCAACAGACATTTAAAGCTGTGGAGGGTGTTGAATGTTATATAGCTGATATACTGGTATGGGGAGATACCAGATGAAAACCCGGTGAAAAGCTGAAGAGTTCTACAGTGAAAGGAACCTAGAACTGTACAAGAGCAAATGCAAATAGGCTTTGACAGAAAAAACATTTGGGGCACCACTTGACTGAAGAAGTTCTAAAACTTGGCAAGTCAAACATTGCTGCAATGACTGAAATGTTCACACTGACCTTGTTCACACTGACTGAATTGTTGGAATTGTTACTTACCTTGGGAAGTAACCACACCTGTCAACAGTAACAACTCCTTTAAGCCAACTGTTGGGAAAAGATGTTAAGTTTGCTGTGATGACAAAGCATAGTGGCATCTGAACACTTGAAATAATTGCTTACAAGAGCACCTGTGCGGAAGTATTTTAAAGTCAAAGAACTAGTTACTGTGTCTGTGGATGCATGTGCTATGGCTTAGGGACTGTATTGCTGCAAATCAGGGCTCCTGATATTTATTCCTCTAAAGCTCTGACAGCTACACAACAGAGCTATGCCCAAGTAGAGAAAGAAATGTTTGCAATAGTATTTGGCTGTACTCAATTTTCATCAGTTTATCTATGGGGAAAAAATAATTGTGGAGACAGACTGCAAGCCTTTTGAGACTATTTTCAGAAAACCTTTGTCCAGTACTCCACTGGGAATTCAAAGGTGGTTGCTAATGCTCCAGAAATATCAACTGGAAGTTAGAGACAGACCAGGGAAAGAATTAGCCATAGCTGATGCTTTATCCAGAGCATACATGTTGCATGGTGAAGGATTAAATTCAGAGGAAGCTAAAGTAGCCATCATGAGATTTATTGCTTATTTGTCTATTTCAGAACAAACTGCATGAATTTCAAGCAGCTAATGCAAATGATGTTGGCCTGCAAACCTCAAGACAAACTATTTTGAAAAGATGGCCAAACGAGACCTTAAGTATCAATCAGAGGTATATAGAGAGGAACTAAGTGTACAAGATGGACTTGTCTGTAAAAGTGACATACTACTGGAAAGTCTCAGAAAAGAGATCTTGACTGTTATTCATGATGGTCTTCTGGAAGAAGAGCTATGTAAAATGAGATCTTGAGGTGCTGTGTATTGGCCAGGCATGTGTAGTCAAATTGAGGACATGATATAGTGCTACTACATGAGGTCCCAAACAGACTTTGGCAGAAACTAGGCATGGGCCTGTGGTGCAGACTATCTTATACTGGTTGATTACTCCAAATACTTAGAAATCTCCTTGCTTCAGGACATCACAAGTATCTATCTTCAGACACTGCAAGTTTTATATTTTCAACATGTGGCATACTTGGCGAACTCATTTATTGACAATGGACCACAATGTTGCTCCAAAGGCTTTAAAATGTTTGCAAAGTAATAGGACTTTATTCACAAAATATCAAATCCACTGTTCTCACAATCAAATGGAATGGCTGAGAGAGCCATTCAAACTACAAAAGATTCTTCAAAAAATCTAGCTTGGAAAACACAGGTCCTTGTCTTAGCTTGTTGGACTATCATAATACACCTATGACAGATTTAGGGCTTCCTGCTCAGTACTTTGTGAGAAGACATCTAAGAACCAGACTGCCAACTTCACCACAGCTGTTGCAACCCAAGCTGATACAAGGAGACATACAAACTAATCTACGATTGAGAAAAGCAAAGCAGAAATTTCTTTCACAAAGGTGCAAAGCCTTTATTCCCTCTGGAAAATGGTGAGACTGTTTGTTTGTATTTTTCAAAAGCAGCCTGGAAAGCTGCAAAGATGATTGACCAGCACACTGCCCCAAAATGTTATCGTGTTGAGACAGAGCAAGGAGATGTTTACAGAAGAAACAGGATTTGATGAGCCCTAATCTCAAGTGGTCAGTTTGAATATAGGAAAAAACAAAACACTAATACTGTTACTACCTCTAAAGGCAGAGGGCTAAGAGAACCTGCTAGATACGGAGACTAATTGTTCAAGATCTTTAAGTATTCAGATTAGAGTTATGGATACTAAATTAAGTTGATACAGTTAAGTAAAAAAGTTGAAATGTTAGTTAAATGATATGTAGAATGTGTGTGCGCACATGTGTGTTTACATAAAAAGAATGTAATGATACTGGGAACTCTGGAGTAGGAACCAAAGTTGCCCCTAGCATTGAATGTAGTGAGCCTTATCAGCAGAAGCTTATTGCTAGGGCACTTGCAGGAGCGCCAGCAAAACCTAAGTGCATACTGTTGCTTAAAAGGTCTCCAGTATCTCCAGAAGAGCAAGTTTGCAATAGCTGTTATTCTGTCCTTCCAGGAAGTTTAGGGCCAGCAGTAAAATGAAAAACTGAGAAAGAGACAAGCCAACCCTGAAGTCAATAGGCTTGCAGTGGGGTTTTAGGACACTCAGCACCTCACCGATTTTGGCCTTCAGTTAAGCAAACATCTGTAACTAATGCAAAAACGTTAACACACACACACAAAGAATGATAATTCTTTTATTCCGAAGTCCTCGGGTCACTCAGCCACGCTATTCATATTAGTGCAGAATGCTAGTGACCAAAAAGTGTTTCCCTAAGGAGTATTACCACAGCTGTTAAACTAGCTATGGTCACTGATGCATTGTTTCAACAAATGCTTCACCTCATCAGCATTACTAGTACTCAGCTTGGAAAATCCCTTCTGAAACCAAAAGAACCATTCCTTTTTCTAATGCTGTTGCAAAAAGGGAACTTGCAAGAGGTGGGGCATGCTGTTGGTTTAGCAAGAGCTCAAGAATATTTTCTCTGTTGGGCAAGCAGCAGTGTGTTTAATTTGGCAAATGGTTCTATAAATAGCAGCTCCATCAGCCCCCATGGGAAATTTTCAAAGGTGAACAACAGTAAGAAGCCGTATGAGAAAAAGAAAGAAGTGGCACAAAAATAAGTAGGAATAAAATCACATTGACTCTGCACAGAATGCTGTCGAGTGCGTGAAGTAAATAAACGGAACAAATAGAAATACCTTTGACTTCTAGCCACTCCAGAGTCAGCCATCTTGGCTGATTCTGGTAACAATAATAGGTTAAAAATTGCAGATAGGAATGTGACTTGAAGATGGTTTCCCTTCTACGCAACGGTTGTCAAGATCTATTGTGTAAACCACTTCTACAGATGGAGATCTTCTCTTTCCCTTATCTCATATCCCCTGCCTGCTTCCCAATGGCAAATGAAAATACTTGCTCATATGAAAATATTAGGGTAATGAGGAGACAAAATGGAAATAAGATCCCTTTAATCCAGTGGATGATGCTGTATGATAAGGTTCCCTCCCCCACTATCATTTTGTATCTGAGCTGACTATTTCCTCTCCAGTTTATCAATAAAAACATCTCTCACTTCCTGTGGCTCACACTGCTCTAATCTTCTGGATCAGTTTGCAATTTGATTCCTCTCTCTTGTGTATTTGCTGTCCTTCCAATGTGGGCGTCAGCTGTAAATTTGATCATGGTTGGGTTTATGTCTATAGGGCTTGTCTACACTTGAACACTGCTGTGGCACTTCAGTGTAGACCAGTGGTCCCCAACCTTTTTCATCTGGCGGGTGCCAGATGACGAGCCACAGAGGACCGTGATGGCAGACAAGCATCCGCCGAAATGCCGCTGACAAGTGGCAACGTCAATAGGCGTTGCCGCCGAAATGCCGCCAATGGGCAGCGTCATCCAGAGGCGTTGCTGCCGAAATGCCGCTGAAAATTAGCGGCATTTCGGCGGCAACACCTCTGGATGACGCTGCTTCTCGGCAGCATTTCAGGGGATGCTCGTCTGCCAGCCAGTACGCGGGTGCACTTAGACGCCATGGCGCCCGTGGGCACCATGTTGGGGACCCCTGGTGTAGACACTTCCTACACTGATAGAAGGGGTTCTCTCATTGTCCCAGGTAATCCACCTCTGCAAGAGGCAGTAGCTAGGTTACATCAACCTAGTGCTGTCTACATGGGGATTTAGGTTGGCTTAACTACACCGCTAAGGGGGTGAGGATTTCTCACACCGCCAAGTGACATAGTTAAGCCAATCTATTTTTCTAGTGTAGACCAGGCCTAAGGCTGACAGGAAGACTTGATGCAGTCATACTGGGTGCAGAGAAATGCTTGGGTATTTATCACTTCGGATGGTCAGAAAAACTTTGAGATTCTAGGACAGAGTCTTATCCAAGGCTTATTGAAGTCAATAGACTTTGGATCAGACCCAGAATCCAGA